TACACCTTTTTCACTTTCTTGCTGATAGCCTAAATTAATCTCATGTCTGCTTTTAAAATATTACAGCCAGCTGCTTGTTAGTCTGGCATAAAGACTGAAAACAGCTGACCTGTCTAAAGGAAATAAAATCTGCCTAATAGCACATCTAAAGCTAATCAATTAACACATTATATCTTGTTTAAAAGCTGAGGTGTTTGGTGATTTTATGGGAGGTCTGTTTATTGAGCTTTAGAGGTGCTGGTAGGTGGAGTTTGCTACCTTTGGACAGGACAAATCAACTTTGCCCTCACTGCAGCTTCATATTTAGATGGACATACAAGTGGTATCAGTCCTTTTCATCAAATAATTCATCAAATTTCCTAAACTTTAGTTAAATATGTTGATGAGGTTAAAAGATGAAGAAGAACTGTGCATTGCTGTAGGTCTGAGGAGCACTTTGTTATGGAAGGAGGAAGAGGAGAATGGGTGTTTGAAGGCGGACAAGACCACGCTTGGACACAGGGGCGGTCATGTGCCTGTAGGTCCAGTGGAAGTTCCACGTGTGGCGGTCACTTTTGTAGTGGGTTTGTGGGGAAAAACCTCAGACAAATTGGATTTAAATGCAAATGCATCACACGCAGACAGTGCTGGCTTGGATTGCCTGGCTGTGAATGGCTGACTTCTGAGGGCCGTGGTCAGGGAGCTGGCATATTTTGAACATCCCTTTTGGACGTGCTTTCACATGCATTTTATTTTCACTGCATGTGTTTGCTGTACACTTACTGCTCCTGACCTGTGGATAGCCAGCAGGTGAAAGAGTTGACAAACTCAGCAGATATCTTTAGCCAGATATCTTTGCATTAATAATAACAATAAGTTTTAGGGTTGTAAAATGTAATCCAGTAAGAAAATGGAAAAATAACTTTAGTGAAGACAGTCTGAACTGGACATTTCTTGACCTTCAAACCTCTCAAATCTCTCTATCGGGGGTCAGTGTACCTGTATGTTGGATTCTTAACCCAACCTTTGAAAAACAATGTGCTGCTGTACAATGATGATTGCTGATTATGTGCATTCATCACACAATAAATCAGTTTCACCTCACTGGAGTTCAAGTCTAGTCGTTTCAGTGACTGCAATTCTGGAGGTCAAGTGAGGTTCTCTGTGGAAAACCAAACATTCCTCAACCCCTCTAACCCGATCCAATTTGTTACTTGACACTTTCCTATAAAAAGAGGTACTTAATTGTAGGTCCCATTTTTGTTTTGCTCTCTCTATCATTGTCGTTTTATTGATAGTTTTTTTTTTTTCATTTTTCAGCTGTGTGCTTTTGTGTGTGTTGTGTATGTGTGTGAGGGTGCATGTTTTCCTGCGTGTATAAGTGTATATGTGTATATGTGCGCGTGTGTGACTTGTAATTAGCCTCTTGCTCTGGTCTGTATGGCATTTTAACAAATGCTTCTATATATATCATGCTATCAGGCTGACGTTTTAGCAATCTCACTCCCTGCCACTTTCTCCTCTTTCCATCCCTCCCTCCCTCTTTTCTTCCTCTACAGCTCTATCGGTCCTTGCCCTCCAGCCCTGTGTTGTTTTTTCAAACTAGTGTTTTTTTTGTCCTCGCTTTATCTTTTTCTTCCTCCCTAAAATTATGCTTCAGCAGCCTGTCATTGGCATGAGGGCCTCGCCGGACCAAAATCATAAACTCGTTACATTTTTTATTTTCTTGTTTGTACAAGGCACAGCTTGGTGTTGGCTGGATGTTATGGAATTCCAGATGTGTGTTAATATGTGTGTTCGTGTGTGTGTGTGTGTGTGTATGTAGTTAAAATGAGCTCAACCTTAAACATCAGTAAAATTGAACATATACATTAATGCAGCAGTAATATTAATCAAAATACATCATATATAATAGTAAAACACTTTTGATACTTTAAGTAGATTAAGCTGATAATAATTACATACTTTTGCTTAAGTAAGCAGTAGTAGAACTTGTAGTGGAATATTTTAACAGTGTGGTATTAGTTCTTTTACTTGAGTAAAATATCTGAATATACATTACACATGCAGGTACACACACATACTTATATACATATTATTGATATTTATATATCAGTGCATCACATTCTATAATATCATCATATGTTGGTAGTGTCCCTGTCCTGTGAGAACCATGTATCTCTAAAAAGGCAACTTTGTGACAATGCATTTTCCATCAAATCATGAGGGTTTAAATATTTTATTTAACTTTTCTTAACCCATAAAAACACATTTAATCCGTCAGTGTGTATCACAAACCTTCCAACACGCCAAATTTGGGGATACATGGCTTTCACTGGACAGAAAGGGTATGAGAAATGTAATCTTTAGTAACTAAAGCTGTCAGATAAATGTAGTGGAGTAAAAAATAAAATACACTATGATGTAGTGGTGTAGTGGAGTAGAAGTATAAAGTTGCATGAACTGAAATACACTCCCAAGGAAGAGCACCAAGTACCTTGAATTTGTACCTCAGTACAGTACTTGAGTGAAAGTACCTAGTTCCACCAACTGCACTAGGAATATCCTTTATCAGTGTATGTGCTGTGTGTCGCTATGTGTGTGTGTGTGTGTGTGTGTGTGCTGACCACACAGAGAAAGAGAATGAATGGGTTTGACTGGAGAAGAAGTGTTGATTTGCTTGCAAACTAATGTTTAAAACATGTTTTGCTGCGTGGTCATAGGTGAAGATGGTGCATTAAAGTGGCCTCACCCTCACACACACACACACATAAACACACACACACATAACACACACACCCAACACACACACACACACACACAAGCTGTGTTAGAAGGGGCATGTGCTAAGGATGTCAGGGGTGTGTCTGTGGTCAGAGTGACAGTATAAGACATAGGCAGGTACACTGAATTCTCCATTCAGCTACACAGACTCTGAATTTTGTGTCACTTCTCTGACTTCCCAAGTATCATTTTAGTGTTAACTCTGTCTCACAGTTAGATCTTTTTAGAATTTCAGATTTTGAATCTTTACTTTCTCGTTGCGAGGTCCATAGTTGTCAGAGTTACTTGTCCAAGTAGCACCCAATACGACTTTCATCAAGAGTCTGTGTTGTCTTGACGGCTTGTAAGAAAGTTAGAGCATATTTGAGTTTTAGTCCTGACTCAGCATTTGTAGCAGCATACCACAGCATCCTCGCTGAGTTGCCACGGCAACTGTGTCAGTCAGCTGCAAGTCTGGGGTAAGTATGCTGCCCTGTATTTCTCCCCTCTCCCACTTTCCTATTCTGTCTTGTACTTTCTTTCTCTTTCTGCACCTCTAACTGCATTCCTTCAGTTTCTAATATTTTCTTCTGTCATTCCTCGTTCCATATACCTCTCATGTGTGCGCTGTGGTCGGTGGCTGTTTTACAAGCCTATTTGGGGCCAACAAGTCATTCACTCTCTCCTCCCGTGACAAAAGTGCAGAGTAGAAACATTATACATTTGTAACATTGTGCTGTCAGTCTGTTTTCTAATGTGCTCCTACTCACAAGGGCTGTCATGTAAGGCTAGTTGGGATAAATGCAAAAATGACTTTTATGTTGTTAAAGTCTGTCTATAATGTCTATAATTTTAAAAGTAAAACCACCATAAATAACGTGCTGCTTGCGGACAGTATGAGGTTTCAACCTGATAATACTGGTCCTGTGTGAATTCACAGTCCTGCAATTGTGGCCACAAATTAGAGCATAGAGCAAACGTTCTTGTTTTATTGTGTCAGTTGCTTAATTGATAGGGTGTTGTAGCGCACACAGTGGAGCAAAATTATTTTTACATCTTTATATTGTTATAGCAGTTTGAGTGTTGTTATGTCGTATTTTTTATTGGATGCTGGATAGTCAAATCTTGGGAATGCATTTTTTTAATGTGTCACACTGTTATCACATGTTCAGTAGAGTGAGTCACACAAATCTGGAGGCTTTGACAATAAAAAAGGGCCAAAGTTTAGGTTTAGAGAACAGCTAGTAGGAATTTGTCTTATTTAGTGACACTTCAGCACTTTGCTATCACATGAATTGAACCTTAATCCTCTGCTTGTTGGGTGGCCACTGATGTGCTCTGCTGTTTTTTAATGTGACAAAATATCATAGTCATCATGTTTATACAACTTGAATTTGACGTGCTACATGTTAAGCAGGGAAAACTCAGATTTGAGGGTTAGCCAGTGTAAGTGTGAGGATGCTATATATGGACCTAAAGTCCTTGAACCACCACTTGTTCTGTGTGCGAATGAATGTGTATCGTGCATGTGCACTGTGAGGAGTAATTCTATTTTAAATAAGCTGTTGTCAAATACTTTCCGACTGCAAATAGCTAACTTCAGATGACAACAATGTTTTGCTGTAACACAATATAGTAGCTTGTGGCATACATATGTAAACTCATCCATGTAGACTTAAAAAAAAAACTTTCTAACAGGCCTAAAGGTCAGGAAATGTCTCATCCCAGGGGCGGCTAATTGTCAAGTGTTGAGAAAATCAGCACGTGTTGGCAAATGAATATATTGCAGCATAATTAGGTGCTTTAAATGTACATGTGAGTACTCGCTTGCAAAAATAGCCACAGAAAAGCCCTGGTTCATTCACTCCCTTCCAAAAAAAGAACCTGATTCATGTTAAATGTTATTTACGGCATTTGCAGCTGCTTCTTACTTCTCTGTCACTCGGGTCACTGCGCTCTGGATAAGTCACAAAAATGACTCAGGTGTTTTTCCGCCACGTGAGTGTGTGTGGCTTTGTGTGAGTTTGCTTATGCTTATGCACAGTGTGTGTAATGTCATCAATTATGTTGTGATATGTCTTGTTGTTGTATGTCCTCCATATCTGAGTAGACACCGTTCCTTGACCCTTAAAAGGTCACTAAATTGTGCTTTTATTATGCACTTTAAACCCCATATATGTACTGTATGTGAACCTGACCATGTTTTGAAATGTGATTAACCCTTTTTTGGACCTGTCTCTGTCTCCTTTATCTTGTAGATCATATGTACATAGAAGAATACATTGAAGAAGATGAGGAACCACCTTTGCTGCTCAGCTCTTGTCCTTCTCACGGTAAATATGTGCAAGTTTGTGTTTGTGTTCAGACCGAGTGGCATGTAGATCATAATTTAGCAAGTGTGTTCACTCAAGTCTACTGACTCATGAGCTTGTGTGTGTATGTCTGTCTGTCTTCCAGGTGCTTGGCTGTGGTGGGACTGCAGCAGTGCAGTGTCGGTGGGGGGAAGGGTGTGTGTGTCTGCAATGCCCTGCTGGCCAGGAGCCATCCAAGGTGAGACTATGAACTGGAATAAAATGATTAATAACAACTTAACCTGCTATGAGGGTTATATTATATCTCAATATTGGTTCCTATCAAGTGCCTTTGTGATCTTTTTAATTACTTTTGTGTCCCCTAAGACACTGTCACCCCATGTTCCTTAATTACCCTGTCCTCCATACCTGGCTACCTACCAGCTCCTCACAGAGTCACTGTAACACTGTATGACTTTTTATTTACATGTTTTTCTAGCCTCTTTCTGAGTTTAGAAATTTTTTTTCTTGCCAGGCTTGTGGGCAGATCCAAAGTCCGACAGAGGAAGTGCAGTGTCGATTGTGCCCGACTGGAAGCTTTTCAAATGCGACCGACTCTGCACTCTGCCGTCCACACGCCTCCTGCAAGATCCTCGGCCGTAAGGTTGCAACCCCTGGCACTGTGACTTCTGATGCCGTCTGTGGAGACTGCCTGCCTGGGTAAGGGCTGCTGCCATCGGCCTACCTGTGTGCTAGCTAATCTGCCTACAGCTTGACATTCAAAGTGCTTTGCTCGAACATGTAGGCCTATCTTGTAAACTTTTATGTGTTCTAAATTAATCCCTCTCATTTTGTCTGTGTCGAAAAAACAAGAAAACACTTGCACACACACATACACACACATACACACACACTATGTCATTCACCACAATGGGCAGGAAACATCAAGCACTAAACAAAATATGCCACAGGCTAAACCGCTGATTCATTCTTTCATTCTCTCTGTCCATCTCTCTAATTATGCTCTTTTCTCTTCTTTCTTCTTTCTTTTTCCATTCACAGGTTTCACTCCACTGCCACAGGGGAAGTTTCCACCCAAAGTCCCTGTGTGAAAAGTAAGCATGATCCTGCAGCGAGTGTCTGAAAATGTATTAAACTTTACATGCTGGTCATATCATCATTCAATTCACAATCATCGCTTTCTTCTTCATGGCGATAACCATGTTTCTGCTCTGGCCCCCTGCTCTCTTTATTCCTCTTCTTCTCCTTTCTCTCAGCATCTTTGCATGTCAGAACGGTCCGTACAGTAGGCAAAGGTCCATCCAGCGGTGCAGGAGGGCCGGTCAACGGCACAGTGGTACGCAGCGCTGAGGAGAAGACGGCGGAATACGCTGTGTTTGCTTTGGTGCCCATCTTCTGCGTGATGGGCCTGTTGGGTATCCTAATCTGTAACATCCTGAAGAAGAAGGGATACCGCTGCTCTGCTGACAAGGAAGGAGGGGATGAAGAAACTGCCACACCACAGAAAGAAGGTGAGAGTGATGAATGACGGATATTGAGAGCAGAGAGCAAAGTCAGCAAATGAGAGAAAAGAAGAAAACGTTAGAAAAGAGAGCAAAAGATTGGAAGTAGCAGGGAGAGTGATTACTGAAACTGGCATTTATGTTCAGGTTGTTGTCACGTTCACCCATAAAAATGCCAAATTAGCACACACCCATGCACACCATGTGGTTAAGTGTTGTCAGGGCAAGGCCAAACCAAGCCCAAAGGGTGTCTTTGTGTGCAGCCACAGTCCATGTATCTCTGTGATGTGACTGCACGCAAAGCGGCATGGTAGGCTTTTTCGTGTCTTTCAACTTTGACCTTACAGGGGTCATTACATGTCATGCTGTGTTTTCCTAAGCACGCACTGTTATTCTTGAATTTTCCTATCTGAAAAGGGGAAAAAAAGCATTCCCATCAACTCACTCACCCTACTGACGTCAGAGAGAAACTGACTTCTGGGTAAACACAGAGAGAAAACACAGAGGCAGAGGGATTTGGCGGTATTAACCGAAAGAGTGATGAACATCAATAAATGGAATACCAATCACTAAAGAGAGTTTAGAAAGAAAGATAGAGAGATAAAGACAGACACAGAGTGGACAAGCAATAAAACAGGTGTTGAGTTACCACGCCCGTTCTCTGTGGTTTACACGGTCTCAGAGTAACATGAGTCCATGTTATTCCTGTCCTTTAGAATAGAGTATTTATTGTCCTGGAAGGCTCCTGCAGTACTTCAGCCTTTGACTCAAATTGAAATCATTATTTTCCTCTTAGAAATCTGTTCTTGTGAGATGACAACTCACTTGTGGCAGTTGTAACACATGGTTTGATCTTGATGGTGAAGCAAACACCATCTTAACTTGCTGTAGGCCTACATTGTCGTGCACACAATGTTAGAAGTACACCCATATTTTCTCCATCGTCCATCGTACTTGATGACCTGTACCTGTTCTCGGGTTTGTATAGCAGGTAAAACCCTCCAGTCACATGGGATATGTTATCTACTCTAGCATTGCTCGGATTTGCTTTTTTAAAATGTGGGCTCACAATGAAGTTTGGCCTTCTGGTAGGTTTCCACCTGAAGTGCATGACGTTTTGATAAACTATGTCGACTATGAGGTGTTTGGACAAATGTATGGTTGAACAATCTCAAAATGTGACTCAGAGAGAGTTCATTCAATTCAGCAAACATTACAAACTTGCCATTGTGTTCACTTGGTTGCCTGATACAAAAAGTAGACATGGCTTAAAGCAATAGTTCATTTTGGAACTATTGAGAAATACACTTTGCTTTTTTGCTGAGAGTATGAGGAGATCGGTACCACATTTATATTCATTAGTTAAGCAGCTGCAGCCAACAGACAGTTAGCATAAATACTGTACACAGGAGGAAACAGTTAGCTTGGCCCTGTCCATCAGTTATATTGGTTTATGCAAGACATATAACATGTTAATTAGTGAGCTTTAGAAGTGAAGTAGTTTCCTCCTGTGTCCAGTCTTTATGTTAAGCTAACCTAACAGCCGGCTGGTTGTAACTTAGGTATCAATTTTCTCCTTTAACTCAAACGCAAATAAGGGTCTTTCCCAACATGTCGTACAATTACTTTAAGCAGCCTTTGACTTGCAGAGGCTACATCAAAAGCTCATCAAGTTAAATAACTAATACATTACACTTTTAAGTATTATTTTACTTACTATTTTGCTATTCTTTTTTATGCTTTACTACAATCTGTGTATACTGTCCAGTCCACTGTAGCCCAGACACCGACAGCCTGAGTGCTTAGTTGTTTCCGTTGCACTCTTCAGATGGGTACATACTGTTTTCATTGGGTATTACACTCTGCTGTTCCACAGTATATCCAGGCGGTCTGTGTTTTATCAGCTTCACTACACTGCGGCAGACAGACAGCTAACATGACTGGCCGTTACTGTCATGTAGTGTGTAAGCATAAACAGATTTAAAGGCTAAGCTGGCTTTTCCCTCACTCACCTGATGGTGCGTGGCTCAGAGGAAAGCTGTGTGACAGTCACGTACGTAACCATACGTAGTGTCAGGCATCGGGAGCGTCAGAGCGCAGCTGCCACCTCAACATATCCGACTTTCTGTCTGCACGCCCCACATCAAGAAACTGTTTGCACAACACCTGCTGCTCTGGATAACTTACTGTATCAGTCATAAGGATTAAAAAGTCTTCACAGATGCAAACATAATTATCCTTATTTAAGTCACTAATAGTTAAAGTAGTAAAACTATTACTCATGACATAAAAAAACATCAATTCAGAACTACAGAATTACTCAGCCATGCTCTACTTGGAGCTGAAGTTACATACAATTACAAAAGGGTTAGCTGCACACCATACCAATATTTTAAAGATTACACCATTAACCAACATATTTTTTGTCTTTATGTCTTTTATGCTTCTTGGTGCATAAGCCAAAGATGAGAGCTTTTGTATTGTTACCAAATCACATGTAGATAAGCCTGTGTAGTGGATTTAGTGGAGACCAGGGTGATCCAGGGCCAGCAGATCTGGTCAAAGACCCAACAGATTTGTACTTGTATCTGTTTCATCAGCAGAAAATGAAGGCTAAAAATAAAATGCATTGCAGAATGACAAAAATCTCCTCAAACATCAATCTCTGCTTATATATTCGAAACAAGTCCTGTATGAATGTTCATTTTATAATGTCATTTGCGCAGACAGACAGGTCATAGCAACAGTCTTTCTGTCAATGATCTCTGCCTTTTGTTTTCAGGCTTGTTCTCCTCCTCTCCGAGCACTTTGTTGTGAAACTTAAGATGTCCCTGCACCTAAGGGGAAACTCCCTGAACCTCCATCCCCCACAGCTCCCTTTGTCAGCCTATACTCTCCATTCATCCGATTTCTTGTATCCCTAACTCTCCCTCCCCTTCTTGTCTGAATATGATACGATGCATCCTTCTCTCCTTTCCCAGCCAGATCAATAATTCAATCAGGTCTTCACCTCATGGTTTATACCTCCTCTTTCTTTCTCCTTCTCTCCTTGTTGCTCTTTGGGTTGTTCTCTGTCCTATTTTCTGAAGTTTTCTTCTTCTATCCCAGTTTTTATCTGCTTTTCTAGAGCTTGTGGGGTCTTCTGTGGTAGAAATGCCTCGCTATTTAAGCGGACTATATGTGTTCCCTATGAAACTCAACTTAACTAAACATGAAAAGTTGTATGTCTCACAGTGAGTTCCACAGTGAATTGACAGTAGCACATTTATAAGTTCCCAACCAACCTTTCATCACTTTTAAAAAGCTGAAGGCCCAATTAAAGATAATGGCTATGTTAATGTTTTACCGATGTAGTGTTGTCTATTGGAAGAACGGCAACTTAGGTGATTTTAGGACACCTTATCGCTTCCTTCACTCTCTTTCCTCTAGCACAGCTTTGAGGACAGATGATGCAGTGGTGCAGTGATAAGCTATCAGTCTGCATGCATGTGGAGGACAGATAAAGGACAGGAGAGGGGAGCATAAAGTCAAATAAAGTTAGTAAAAAATAAAGAAAGTCGGTAATGTAAGGAAGTAAAAGACTGCAGATGGAAAATTAAGACTAAATGAATGATCAGATGGCAGTAGGATGCTTTGGATGCTGCAAGAGGACTTTATTTCTCCTCTTCTTTCTCTCTCTTCTTGTTATGTAACTATCCCTGTTGCAGTGCGCTGTCTGTCTGTCTGTCTGTCTGTCTCTCTGCTGTAGTCCTGACAGGGCTAAGGTTAGAGGTAACCTTCTTACCCCAGCACTTTTCACATCATCTCCATTCAGGGGGAACACCCACGGGGATGAGTTGCAGCAAGGCCGAGCTTAACTCTGCAGGGCTAAAATCAGCCTCTGCAGAGGTAACTCTGAATAAAGCTGAGCTGGAGACAGGAAAGCTGAAGAGGGAAATGGAAAGGGCAAATGTGGGGGTCGATAATACAAGAAATGCTGTGAGCTGGAGTCAAATCTGAAACGTTGTCTTTACGCAGCATGAAGCTCAGCCATGAGGCAGAGTAGAAAGGTAGTTGCTGCAGTTTTCTTTTTTCTGAAACTCATCTGAAAACGAGATGACTGACAGGTGCCTTAATTAGCCTGACACTGAAACACTGAACACATGGGTCAGACTTTGTTGAAGTAATAAATAGAAGAGAATGAGTGCCACACTGTGAAATGGATGCCGTTATCCTCACATAGCAACAGCCACTGTGGAGACAGAGCTATTGTTATGGCCTAACAACAGCCTGACACTGCTTATGCAAGAAAGACAGAAACACACATAGACACTAATACATCTATACAGTTGCATTTTGCTCTGCAACACACAGATACACACAGTCAACTGGCATTGGGGGTCTGGTGCATCACACACACACACACACACACACACACACATAGAGCCCTGTGTGTTTCAACAGTGCTGAATGGAGTGTGATCGCTGAGTGAGCTATTCTGGACCCCCCTCGCCCTCATCGCTCTTCTCTCAGCTGCCTCACTGTGCTGTGCTATTATGGGATGGCCGGGGGGTTGCCATGGAGGCATATCTATTCTTTGCTGTTCAGTCATCCGCATCCATCCTTATCAGTCCCATCATGCAGTGGGGCACAATATCCTAGCAGTGACATGCACTATGTGAACTGCGCTCGCTCTGTCTCTAGAGTAAAGTTGTTGTTTAAAGAAAATCCATCTGATAATAATGTAGATTTTATATAATGATATATAATATATAGCCCTAACAGGATACTGTACATTAAAATAAACAAAAATATAAGTTAATATATTAAAGTTTATATTTGAATAAATAGGTGGACTGCACATTAAGTTTGAAATATGTAGCAATATATTCAGTCATTGTTTTCTTCTAGAATATATTTTAAAATATAATGAGTATAGGCTATAATATAGGCCTATTCTACCGTCTTAACTCAGATATATTTACTAGCTTTTTGGGGGGATTTTCATCTTGTGACCTAAATGTATTAAGACATATGTTAACCATGGAGTTACACTGAGGAAAATGTAAATGTATTAGATCTAGAACCTAAAATACAATATACAGTATTTGAAAATCTGTGTCTGTTGATAAAGACTCTCTGTCTGTGTTTTTGTGCTTGCTTTAGGTAACAGTTGTCCCTACATATCTGACGACTTGAATGAAGACACCATCAGTGTTCTGGTTCGCCTCATCACTGAGAAGAAAGGTAGGTGCTGAGCAACAGTGATGTCACTTCCGAGCTAGTGGTCAGAGCCATGTTATCTCTTGTGGCTTCAGTGTCATCACAGTACGCCACAAACACGTCTCCACTGCTGCAAACTCAGACTGTTCTAAATGATTAATGTTAGAAATAGAGGGAAACCAAACCCTAGTAAGTTTGACTTTTTTACTGCAAACACAGCAAAAAGTGAAAAGAGGTTCTAACACAAATTTTTGGACTGGAGATATAATATAACATTGTCAGCAGCACATGTAGGCTGTCCACAGCAGTGATAAATGTTTCCAATTTGTGTTTACGTATCAAAAAGTTAGCCATGCGCATATTCTAGGTATTACTGTGAGTTTCTTACATTTCCTATAAGAACTCAGACAGTGTAGAACAAACTGTAAGTTATCTGGACTTTTCCCCACAGCAGTTCAATTTCATAATCAATTACCAATAAGCACAGAGATGAATGTTATTTATAAACCTCTAATATGGTCTAAAACCCCATTCCTGCAGACAGTTTGATTATTCTGAGTTACAGTATTGACTGGAAGAGAAAACTCTGTAGTCGACATCATTGATTGAGTCTTATCTGAATGTTTATGTGTATGTGTTTCAGAAAATGCTGCTGCACTAGAGGAACTGCTGCTGGAGTACGAGAGCAAACAGATGGCCATGAGCAAAGGCTCGTCAATCAAGTATGAGACCACACACACACACTTGCACACATACAAATTATCATATAGTTTTTGCGCAGTCATGCTGCTCAAGGTTAAGTTGGACACAGGGGCAAAGAAGATTTTAGAGAGAGCAAGGCAATGAATCATTAAGAAGAAGGCTCTAATAAAATCTGTGTGCCTGAGTGTGTATGCGTTTGTGTGTATGGAAGAAGATTCAGACAGATAGAGGGAGATCAAATGTTGCCAGAAGTTACAGAAAATTGAAAGTAGGAAAGTTATTTGGGCAGATATGGTCTCTTAGCATTAGATATGTTACTCTCTTCTTCTCACTGTAGACATTACCATGAGGGATTGTTGAAACAGTTGATTCACAACCACCTTTAACATTGCACATCGTTTCAATGTGAATCCACTTATTGTAACAGGGCATATTTTCCATTGCAAACCAGTTTTATTTCTTCTTTGGTTGCAGTAGGAAAAACAAAATGGCTCTCCACAGTAAATTACTGTGGTTTAATCAGTAAGATTAGTGTTATTTGTTGGCCTTCACTTCTTGAATGATTCACTTGAATCTGATTCATATCACCCTTGTGCCAAAAACAGGAAAAATAAGATGCTTGTGCTATATTTAAATTTTTTTTTTTTTTATAGCGCCTCCACTGGTTGTTAATATGACACCACCTGTAACCGATTCTTTCTGTACTGTTTCAACAAAGAGAAATGGAAAGTAAAACAGTAATACACATCAGATCATGCAGGCTACGTTACCTCAGTGGTAGCGTAGGAGTGGGCCGACACTTGGCACTGACTCATTCCTGCCAGTCTGAAATGAATGTCTGACACAGTTGTAACTGCTGTCTCTTGAGTCATGAGGCTTAAACACCCTGTCTGTCGCTAAGCTCACTGGCTGTCGCTTAGCTCCAAGTCACACGATTTACATGACCAAGTGCAGTTGTGGTTGGAATTTGGGTTATAATCTGCGGCCATTAAAATTACTCAAGTAGTCAGAAGTTAAGCTAAAAAGTTTAACAACATGCAGCTTTACACCACAATCTGCACCTCTGTGTTTCGACTTGTCCAAGCTGTGTTTATCGGCACTGGAAGGACAAGACATATGAATCATTTGTCATCTTTATGCTCCAATTTACAGACCCAGCCTATCCCAAAGAATCATTTCAGCTCATCTTATCTCACAATATTATTACAATTTGATCCGATGCACTCCAGTGTGTGTGACACATCGACAGTAGCGAGAGGCGTCAGGGGGGCCTCTGGCAGTGTGCGGCTGCTGCTCAATGGGCTGCTGTAACATGTGAGCTTTAGATTCGAGAACATTCTGACACACACGCGATATGCACACTGAAATCTGGAAAGCTTTCAGATCCTGTGTATGTGGTGGGAGGTTCTGGGGTTACTACAGGTCACCCACTGCCCAGCATAACACAAGGGACACACAGCTACATTCATCTCTTTTAGCTTTGCCTTTCGCTGCACAAAAGAACAATGGAAAGCCCCAAAACTAAAGAGCCCTGGATGAATTTCAATTTACAGTTTTGATTTTATTTACGCTACAAAAACCCCCTAAACAAGTACGGACATTTTGGAAGCAATGGAGAGCACAAAAGACAGTGTGGTCTGACAAGACTAGTATTTTAGTAATCTTTGTAAAAAGAATGACATAGATATATAGCCCTATATAGGACCAAGATGAGGGAGAGGGTGTGTGTTCGTATGTGTGTGTTCAGAAATCTATATCTCGTATAGATGATTCCAGAATTACAAACCATATTTTTTATTTGTGGGTAAATTCACCATTTGTGTTGATTAAATTGAATTAAAAATGCCTGAAATTGTTTTAAAATGTAACTGATCACTTCTTCACTCCCTCTTCATCCTCTTCCTCCCAGGTTCCCGATGCTGTCTCCCCTGTCCCCGTTCCGCTCCCTCCCCAGGCTGTGCCCCCATCAGTCCCACCTCCACACTATCTCTGGCCTCTCCGGCCTGGCCCCAAAACACGGCTACCGCTGCACCCGCTGTGCCCAGAGAAAGTGGCCCCCTATCCTCATACCTCCCCTGGATTCCCTGAAAGATCCCCTGAAGCCCCCCCAGACCCTCATCCTGCCCTCCCTGAACACATCCACCGACCAGCAGAAGAGACCCCTGCTGGGGGGAGTGTTTGTCGACACCCACCATACGCAAGCTGCCGTGCCAAATACTGTACAGGAGAAAGTGGAAGGGAGTGAAGTGAAGGAGAGGAAGGAGGGAGAGCTGACTGTGTTGTCTGTGGGGAGGTGAGTGCACATGACACAATGGAAATATACTGTTACTGTTACTGTTCCACAATTTGATTTCAGATTTCAGGGAAGTACTGTTCTTAACAACAGTTTGGAGGTACTTTACTCGAGTATTTCCATTTTCTGCTACTTTTTACTTCTACTACACCACTTTTTTGAGGGAAATATTGTACTTTTACTCCATTATATTTATTTGAGAGCTAGTTAAGTATCCAGTTACATAAAAATTATGAAGAATTAGCCCCTCCTCAACCAAGCTCAGTTGGTTATATCAGTATCAGTTATAATAATCCAATAATATCATTTTGTAATAATTCAACTGCTTTTACTTTTTATACATTATGTACATTTTGCTCATATTACTTAATTTTGAATGCAGGACTTCTACTTGTAATGATGCATTTTTACATCAATCTACAGAATCTAAGGATCTAAATACTTCTTCCACCACTGACATATTCACAAGTCATTTACAGTCCAGTTAAGTTATAGAAAGGCTGGAATGTAGCAGTGATCATATCTCTTGCTCGACCGACAGATTTCAAGTTGCTCAGATCCCTGAGCAGAAGCCCATCACCGTGGAGACTAAAACATCATCCCAGGAGCAACGAAACTCCCTGTTCGGAGGGAAACCCTTCTGCTCTTCTTCATCATCTGGAGTCAGGAGGTACAACTTGCAACACACAGCCCCCTCTCCCTCGCTCTCTTGTTGCTCTAATCGTGTCTCTGCTTCCACAGTTAAAGTGCTGCAAAGTGGTTTAAGATCATTAGCATGTCAACTCACATTCTTCTGACCATCAATGAATTATGTGGTCTGTTTCACTGGGAAAGGAAATTGTCCTCATGATCGGTTTATCAGAGGAGTGTCTCTAAAAGGATTTAGGAAATGAGCTTCCTCTGTTTCTTCTTGTCTATTTCTGCACATGTGTACACAACACTCTGAAGCAGTGACAGTAATCATGTGGCCATCTGTCTGTTGGATGTCCTAAAATGCCTTAAGTAGGCAATCATTTCTGCAGCGAAATCATCCCAAATGAGGACTAATGAGACTAATGTGCTTTGAAAAGGCTCATTATCACCTGTTTCACTTCTTGTTTCGTTCTGTCCTTCATGTCCTGATCAGGCCACTTCCTTGACATTTGGACTCTCTCTTTTAGGTGAAGGAACAGAGAGAAGGTGTATGATAACGCTACCTCGCTGAAGATGACCTCATCATTCGCTGATGACTTGACAGCTGGCAGGGAGGGTGACAACGAGAAACCACAAGAGCCACCTCCTGCTGGAAGAAGTTGTTTCTATTCACGCGATAAGAGGATTATAAATGTATTTATTATTACATAAAAAAAAACATTTTACTTTACAGATTTACCATTATGGAAGTTCAACTCAAATCACTCACTCATTCACTGTCCCAATACAAAGAGAAAGTTCTTTTGTTGGATACACACGGGGGGCAGGGTGGAGAGTATAGTGTTGTGATAAGGTTGTCAACACCTGACACTAAAAGGGAGGATGAGAAGGAGTAAACAAAAACAAAACAAACAAAAGTTTGGATCATAAAAAATGCACTCTTAGCCCCTGTATTTGTGCTTCCATGTAAAAAAAAACAGACACGGGGTAAAACACACATGCAGTACATGTAGACATGCACATCTAGATGTACTCACTTACACTTATACACCCATTATATTAAATGCACAGTCTTTCTTGTGAACAACGAAGTGAGGACAAAAACACTGTGGAATACTTTACTGTCAAAAAGACAAAGAGCAGTGAGACTGAAACAAACATTTATCTTCACTTCAGTGTAAAAAAGAGGAATGGAAGGAAAGGAAGGTTTTCATTACCAACCGACTCAGCAAATCTGGCTCGGCTGAAATAAAAACCTCTATAATTCTGTATTCTTCAGACGACACTTGATGAAAGACTACAGTAGCACCACTACTAAGTATTATAAAAAAAATTCTAAAAGTCAATATCATTTTGATGTTTTAACTATTTTTCATAAGTTTAGTGATATAGCTTCTCTTCTTCTGCTCACGTAGGAACTGCCAGTGAGTTGAGGTTTTAGACCTTGGAGATGTTGAATGTAGTCTTAACAGAAGAAGCTTGGTGCATGCACAGAGGTCAATTCACTCAGTGAACCTTTGAGAGTTTGAGAAACACTGCACCCACAGTCAGCATTGATCACATTTCTAACTTTTAGCTCTTTACACTATCCAAGTAGGTGATCAGGGGCCAAAATGTGTTCTTTCACGGGTCCCTATACTGTATCACAACCTTTTTTTATTTATATATTTTTTTTTTCACAACACTGCATCCCAATGGCAGTTAGATGCTACAATTGTCATTTGGGTCCTGGGGTGAAAATCTAGATGAGTAGGTATAACTTTTGTAGAATAGAACATGTAAATGAATGTATATATGTAAATATGGGTGGGTATAGAGAAACAGACCATATCTGGCTTTTATAATTTTTAGCATACAGTTTGTATGAGGTGATCCACACTGCACCAATAAGTGACATTCGTAATCCATGAATCAAAAACTGGTAAACTCTGTCACACTAGTGTGTATATAAGGTGAACTGCTGGTTAGAATCAGCATGACATGTATGATTTTTTTCACCATTTGAAAGCAACATTTCAGTGTTTTCTTCTTCTTTTGCAAAACTGTTACGGTTTTCCATTCTAATCATGAACTTTTAAAGTCCTCAACATATACACACACACACACACACATGCAATAGCCAGACTCCAGTTATGCGATCTCAATAACTGTAAGAAAGTACTCCCATACACACACATACACATACACACACACATATTTATTTTTTATTGTTTAATTAAAGAAACCAACCAGTGGCTGCAGAGGATTAGTGGTTGAGATGCCTCAAAGTCATGCAGCTCAGTTGGCTTCGGTTTACATCCTTATGGGTTTTAAAGAGTGTACTATAATCATAGAGGTTTTTTAGCTACTCATTTTCATATTTTCTTATTATGTTGCTACGAGGAATATGACAACATGTCTGGAGGACTGGATATTTATTGGTTGCAACAGTTACATGTTTTTATTTGATCTGTTTTTATTACTATCATTAGGATTATTATTTTATGTTTTCAAGCTGAAGTGCTGGTAGGAAGGACAGATAAAAACAAAAACATTCATCTCATCAAGTTTGTAGATTGCATTTATAATATTACATTTTTCTGTATGATGTTTTTACTCTTGAAATAAAGAAGAGGTGTATTTTAAATGCTGTCTCGTTTGCTCTTCTTGCTGGTGACATACACTGATGTGGTGTTTTAGTGTTTGTTTGCTGTTGTATGTTGAGTGTGAACGTCTGGTGAACTACGAAAAGTCAAACTTAGTTAAAACTCCTGAAGCATCATCAGCTATTAGTCTGTCTTGTTTGTAAGGCAGTACAACCCCCTAGTGGTGGTCTTGTGCTTATTAGATAAAAGGACCACTGATTACATAAATTAAGTCAGCCAATGCCAGTGAAATTACCAAGTGGCTCAGCTACCCTGCAACTAAAGTTTGTGTTCCCACTAATTACAGTTAATACTTTCCAAACTCATAACCAACAGGCCGATGTGACGTTTAACTCTGGTTTTAAGTACTCTGTTCAGCTGCTCAGAGGCTGTATGGTTCCAGTTATCAGAAACATTAAAAGAAAACATGAATACCAGTTAGTGGCCAACCTTTTTCCTTTCATTGAGTAAACTGATGATTCCTGACTATGTGACTATGTATATTTCATATTATATTAAATGGATAACAATAACAGTTCTGAACAGCTCATAAACTATAAATTTAACCTACATAGTGAACACAATAACTGCAGGAAGTTTGTGTAAAATGAGAAGTTTGGATGAATTTTAATCTATTTCCTGTAAATATTGCATCAGAGATGAGTTTTTCTGAAATGTTTTGGTTCTATACAATTCACTGTCTGTATTATGTTGTTGTTTTTTAATAATCATACTACTTAATATGCTTATTCAGTTCAGTGTTTTCTTATCTCTGAAATTGAAGGCTCTGTGAATATAGTTTGCGTTCAGGTCTTCACTGTGCCCTTATCCTGTGAAGGTTTTTAAAAATGTATTATGTTCTAAATTCTTCTTCTTATATCTATTTCTTTATATCTAATAATCAAAACTTTCAAAATAACAATTTAATGTAGTTTTCTTCACATAAATAAATAAAGAGATGAGGTATAGTACATATTTAAAAATACGTTTTCTTACACCACCTAAAAATTAAGAAGGCCCTTATGACTCCCCATGAAGCTCTGACGACATCTAGTGGGTTGAAAGACTCTAAACTTTACTAAACCTGCTCTCCTAAGACAATGTCTTGCAAAATGATAGTGAGACTTATTCTACAGTGATTATGCTGTATATGACGTATATAATACTTGACACAAAATGAGGAAAATAATAAAAATGCATCACTACAACAATTTTGTTAACATGTACAGATGTTTATTATAACACAATTATTAATTATTAATTCCTTCACATTTTGTGACACAAAGTGACGAACACACATGCACATACTACTATGGGACATTCAAAATAAACCTCAAAAACCATAAAAGTGGCTGAACACACACACGCTATCTTTGTCTGATATGTGGCTCAGAGTAAGGAGAGCTGATGAAAAAAAATTTGTTCCTATACAGACATTCAAACAACAGGTGTTAGAATCATCAACAAAACCCACCTATGGAGAACTGTGTAGTTTAGTTCTGTCCCTACATTATACTGTGGCATTTCAAACATAAGTAAAAATATAATCTCTAGATATCCTTTTAATGCCTTAATTTAGGAATGCACTAAATGATTTAGATGTTTATTTATAACCTGCAGTCATTGTAACTGTACTATATATTTGATTTTTACATTTGGTCAAATCTGAACATGTAATTACAGTGGCATTATTACAGAATCATCCTATCTTAAGTTAGGATAGAAAGGGTCTTTTTCCCAGTTTGGTATCAGAGAAGCAAATCCTAACTTTATAAATCCTTATCTTATTTCATCCTATCTTATCTCAGGTAAGGAACTCCTAAATACTGAAACATACTAAAATATACATTGAAATTCTAAAGGTTACCAAGACTTAAGACAGTAGCTGCAAGTTAGGAAGTTTCTGTAATATAGCCTGAACCTGTTAAGAGTGTGCTCCACTATACTTTGTAAAACTCTTGAACTCTTAGCATAAATGAATTATGCTAAGACTTTTTGCAGTAGGATTTTAAAGTGTTTCCCTGGTTTTAACTCCACACTTGCGAGATAGAGAGATTCCTACTCTCAGAGGTCCTGTGTGCTTGCTAAACAGACAACTGGCGGACATTTAAGATTGAAAAGTGCATTCTCCATACATAGTACAAGACTTGTCCTCATAACCATTTGCATTTTTTCCAAGATCTGAGATCAGATCAGAGTTGCGTTGTTAAGCTTTGGCTCACACCTTTTGGTTTCACTGAAGCCGACTTGTTCTTCTTGGTGAGGTTGCTGCGGGCATCCTGCCCAGCCAGGAAGTAAAGGATAGGGTCCAGACAACTGTTGGCGCTGGCAAAAGGTCGGGTCACCTTGTAGGCCACACTGGAGGCCTCCAGTAAACTACAGCTGATCTGATCAACACATAAAATAAAAAAATAAAATTAAAATAAACTGAGCTTTTAAAGTCAATGGCACACATTTATTATTCTAAAACAAGTGTTTATCCTTACCTGTGCTGGATTGACCTGCCTTAGGTATCTAAAGGAGTAGTACAGACTCCTGGTGAGGTGGAAGGGGAGGAAGCAGAGCATGAACGCTGCCAGCACGATGATGATCATCTTCACTGACTTCTGCTTGGAACGGTGCGCTGCCAGGCCCCCCCTCTCGCCCCCATCTCCCCCTTCGGACTCCCAGCTAGGCTCTAGAAGCTTCCGCACCATGAGGCCATAGCACACCATCACCACCATAAAGGGCAGGGCAAACATGAGAACTGACACGACTGAGCTGTACACCAGGAAGTAATCAAAAAGCTCCGGGCTGGTCGTGTCGTAGCAGACCCGTTCGGTGTCCACATCCCTGGTGAAGGAGATAGCGATTACAGTTGTTCAGGGTTATTAAATGATACTGCTGCCTCGTTGGGCACTGAACCACAGAAAAAGAAATAGGAGTGATAAGAGAGGGAATAAAATGTAAATTTGGTAGATAGCAGGTTTGTTGTTGTTGTAAAATAAGGTACTTGGCCAAATTGGTTTGCACCAAAAATCAATAGTCTACACTTAAACACGCTTTCAATATAATGAAAAGGGATATTAAGTAAGTAGAGAAAAGGAAAGAAAGAAAGAAAGACACATTTTACAAATTTAAATCACCTAGTTCTTGAGAAGTAGAGAACAGGTGCCTGGCAGAATAAAACACAGGCCCACACTGCCACAGATACCAGCCTGGCCCGACGAGCGCTGACCCAGTGGAGGGAGCGGACTGGATAGCAGATGCCCACAAACCGGTGCAGACTGATACAGCACAGGAACAGAATGGAACCTGCAGGACGATATTTAAAGGGTTAGTTCACATTTTTTGAAGCAGGGTTGTATGAGGTACTTATAGTCAGTGTATTACCTTCAGTAGATGACACTCAGCACGTGCCCAGTTTGGAGATGCAGAGTATATACACAAAAGCTAAGCAATGTGCTGCTGAGGGCACTAACAAAACGTGTCTGCTTCTCCGAACCGGAGCCATGCGACTGCCATCTACTGTAGGTAACACACTGACTATTAATGTGTACCTCATACAAATCCACTTAATACATCATATTATTTAAACCATATAAGTTAGCATTTTTGATATCAGTATGTATTTTTTAGTATACTGTCTTTATGATATGGTATAGTACGATATATTGCATGGCATCCTAATGTATTGTGTGTCTCATCGACTTGTGTCTCACTGTGTTGTCTCAAGTCAGATCATATCACATCCAATTGTATCATTTTGTATCTATATTATATGTACATTTTAAACAAAATTGTCATATTGCATCAAAATTCATCTTGATGTATTACACCCTATTGCATGATATTCTGCCATTCTTTAAATGTATTAAGTAATTGTTGTATTTTAGTTTATCATATCATATTGTAAATGTTTGTACCATACAGCATTGTATATGTATTATAGCACAGTGTAGCGCAGCTTATTGTAGCTGTTGTGTTGTATTGTATCTTACTGTAGAGTATAGTATTTTAGCTTAGTGTAGCCTAGTGAAACATATTGTATTATATAGCCTTGTATTAGAAGTATGTATGATCATACCATACTGTTACTGTATGTATTACATCATTATGTACTGTATTATACTGTTTACATATTCTACATTATATTATATTGTATCATATCATCTTGTAGTTTATCATACTGCCATAACGATACCATATCATGTCATATTTTCTTTATGGGTCAGTACCATGTCAGAACTGTACCATATAAGTTGGCATAAAACAGGAAGCGAATGAGCTTGCAGAATGGTTCACTGAAGGGCCAGTCATTCTCATCTGCGTAGTAATAGATGAGGAAGGGCAGAGTGAAGATGTAGAGAGTGTCACACATCGTCAGGTTGAACATGTAGATAGTGGACGGCTTCCAGCGCTTAGTACGGAACACAATCACATACAACGCTGTGGCGTTCAGCGCCAGGCCAATTACAAAGACCAGGGCATAGGTGACAGGAAGCAGAATATATTTAAAATCTTCACGAAATTTACAGTAGAAGGCACTGGTATTGAATAGGGTGGACTTATTGTTGTCAAAGGTGGCCATCTTGGTTGTGAGAACACCTGAGGAAGATAAGCACAAAGGAATACAATATAAATATGTTGCATTTGAATCTAGAAGCATTTTACTTCTCTAACCATGAAGAGGTCATCATACACACAGAAACAAAGAGTGTGAAGACACAGGAAATGGATAGTACCAACAAGAAAAGTGACATCAACCTAGATTACAATTTAAGAAGCAAAGTCATTCACTTTGGCATGCCTCAGCAGCACAGTCCGATATAAGTCATTCCATCCTCAAGCATAATTGACCGGCCCATTTCACAATCAAATTGACACAATCCAGTTTATAGCTTGAGTCATCCAATTTTAAAGTCATTGTGAATTTCGCACAAAGTGAATCATTTTACTAATTGTCTTTTTCTTTCCGAGT